GTGCACAAAAATCTGAAAGATTTGGAACCGCAGCTGCAATTATCCCTTTATTTTATGTGATCGGATTTTTGACTAATATTTGACCCCTGCTTTATGATTTTACATGTATCAACAATATTAGCTTGTCATATTTAGATTTACATAAAAAAATATATAATAATAATAATAATAATAATAATAATAATAATAATAATAATAATAATAATAATAATAAATAATAATAAAGAAAAAAATATTTTCATTTTAAAACGAGTTGTTTATTGATCTAGCTACATTACACTTCATTTAGCTGGTAGTATATTGCATCCAGTTGCGTAGTTGTCGTCTTATCATATCTAGTTCCAATAACCTAACCATGGACTCATCCCAATTTGATGCCCTCACCAAACAATTAGCACAACTTGCCACTAACCAACAACAATTCCAAACTCAATTAGCGCATATCTAAACTGAGATGGCTGCTACTATTGAAGAGAGTATGAGCCTATCTGCTAGTTTGAACAATTTTAAGCAAAACCCTCATTTAACTGATGTTGATAATTCTGAAGTGTTCTATAATAGACAAAATCGTTGTCGACATGGTGATCAAAAATATTTTCAACATGACTGTAAAGATGGGGAATGTGTTCGTAAGCAAGGACGAGGTTATGACTGTCACAGTACTCATTCTCTTCAACATCATAAGGAGGGTTTCTTTAGAAACAATAAAGTAGATGCTCTTACTTTCGATGGTTGCTTAGGTTTTGAAATATTTACTTAATGGACCATCCTTAAACAAAAGAATCGGTTAGTGACTGAATATATTGCTCAATTTGAGGAATTTCAAATTAAATGTCATGTTATTGAGGATAAAGCCCTGACTTTGAGTAGGTTTAGACAAGATCTAAGATATGATCTTATGCATGAGCTTTTCCTTCGAGGTGTCACTTTTCTCGATCACGCTTACTCTTTAGCCTGAGATTTTGAATTGCTTAGTGGTACTCCATATGAAAAGCATGGTGAAAACCATATACCAATCTCATCAACGCCGCTTCCTCTTAAGTCTATTAGGGGAAATTCCCCGTCAAATGTTTCTTCTGTGTCCTAAACTAAGGGTACAATTTCTAATATTCCAAGGACTTCTTCTCACTTGCAGTGCTTCAACTGTAAGGACTTTGGCCCACATCTCTTTCAAATGTCTTAGCCTAGCCTTAGTCATTGAAAAACAAAAGCGATTAGAAGATCAAGTCTATAAACCTAAACCTGAAGATGACTTCGATGATAGTGAGAACACTTAGGTAGTATTCGAACGTTTCCTATGAATCTACGTATTGTACCCCTTGTTCCCGATACCTCTCAGTCAAGTGTTGTATGTCGTATCATTATCCAACCCAAAGGTGCTATAGATTTGTGTAATCATGCCATTTTCAAGGAAAATCTTGGGAATTGGGATTTGATCGTCCCAACAGTTCAAATTATATATAAAAATTCTGTGAATCGGTCTATAGGTATGAGTCATTTTGAAATTATTCATGGTTCTGTGCCTATGAAGCCTTTAGACCTTATTCCCATGTCCCTACATGCTAGTGAGTCGATGTGAGCTGAGGCATTTGTACATCATCTTCATGATTTGCATATTGAGATCAATAAACGATTTGAAACAAGAAATGCATCATAGAAACTTCAAGATGATTTGCATAAACAATATTTTGAATTTAATTTTGGGGATCATGTTATATTGCAAGCTTGTAGTGCTGGTCCTTTTAAAATTTTAAAGGATGTTGGTCCAAATGCACAAGTCATTACCACCCTACTTTAAATATTGAGGATTTCATTACTTACAAACACCGTTTCAATTCCTTTGATGATCCTTTTCTATTTAGCTATGTGGACCCCCAGCCTATCTATATTGATATTTCTACTTTCATACCATCTGTTACAATACGCAAAGATACAATTGATGTTATTTTAGATGAAGAGATTGTGTTGACCAATGATGGAGAGATTTGGGGCTTCTTTGCTCGTGTTGTAGTTCCATCTGGTGCAGACCGTACACGGAGTCATACAGAGAAGTTCCAACAAATCTGGATCAAACTGTTAGAGTTTCGATGTTTGGTTCTTAAAAAAGATTGTTCCTCGTGGTAGAAGTTTATTGACTCAACAGAGTCAAGTTTTCTCCCACCCCGGAAGATTTGATGTGGACATCATTTTTATGGAATTTTTATTATTTACGTTCTATTATTATTGGGCTTGGGGTATTAGTGGGTTGGCCCAAGCCCAATACTAGTAGGTTTAGGTTTTTTTTTTTTTTTTAACTATTTATATGGTTTTTCATTGTAATTGCGACGGTTGATGATTATATAAAATGAAATGGCATTGCTTGGATCGTCCCACTCCTTTTTACTCCAATCTTTTATCTCAAGTATTCAGGGTACTTTTGGTCTTCCAGATTAGACTGAATAAGGGAAGGTTAGATGGTTAATATTCGTATTCATTGTTATACGGTTCAAAATCCAATTAAAATTGAAAATATAGCCGTTATGGGGTCCCACTCATCTAATAAAAGTCAACAATAACGATTAATTTTTCAATTTTAATCCGATTTTAATCTCTACCAAACACCCTCATAATATAGTGTATTGACAACGTAATTCAGCTAATGAATTTTATAATGTTTATGTAGAGTATGGATTGGAAGGATCGATGTCAATAAAATGTGATGTTTATAGCTATGGCATTATGTTACTGGAAGTATTTACACGAATGAAACCAAGCGATGAAAAGTTTTCTGGAGATTTAATCCTAAGTAGCTGGATCAACGATTCTATGCCTGATGCAAAACTCAGATTATAGATTTGAACTTGTTGGGCCCAGAAGAACACAACACAAAAAAGTTGAAATGTTTGTCATCTGTAATGAAACTCGCTTTAAATTGCTCCGTGGAGAGTGCTAGTGAGAGGGTGAACATGAAAGAAGTTATTGTAGAATTGAAGAATATCATATTTCAGCTCCTCGTCCAACAGTCGTTTTAAATTTGACAACATAATGCAATATGCTCTCTATGTATTATACGATGATTCGGTGATTCTAAGGTGATTATGTCTTATCTGCAAAGTTATATAACATGCAATCAATGAAATTTAGTTCAAATTTTCTGAGTTTACAAGTTGAATTCTCTAGATGTCTTGAATGCATTTTAGAAGTATGTTTTTGCTTTCTCCTCGTCGACCTCTTTTTTTATCTTCTTTTTAGTAATTTTATCCCTTCAGTCACATTACTCGACTGCCGCATGAATGTCTAACATCTAAACAAACATTTTCCATCGTGCAACGTACCGCTTACACAGTGTTAAAAGGTTGGGGACAAGACATCCACATGTAAGTGTTTAATACATAACAATATAACATGTCAAGAGAGAGCAAGCATACCCCAAGATTAGACGATAAATCTCAAGAACTATGTTTTATGTTCTAAACCCAAATTTAAACTACTACTAGAAATATCCACAGCAAACAATTGCAATGCAAACAAGAAAGAAAAGACAAAAAGGGCTATTGAACAAACATGAAAAGAAGTTCAGAGCTTATCACATTGAAAATGTTATGAAGATACTATAAAGCCTCAAACGAAAAGGAAGTAAAATAAATCTCTCTCAATGTTCAAATTGCAGAATTACAATATCTAAGGGGACAAAGCTTTTCCAAAAATTCAACAAATTGTTTGTATATTTGATACATAATGGGTCCACAGTCATTTCAATTGGAAAAAGAATGAATTTTAATATCTATTATCCCGAAATTTGAAGTATCCTATTAAAGTTCAAGATTTGAGTTACCAAACTAACTAAATAAAATGGCCATGTCCATATCTTGTACCATGATAGGCACAGCTGCACCATGTGGACAGGCATTGGAGAAACCAACCTTCCCAGATTTCTGTACTTTTTTTATGCACCTCTTGAACTTCTTGTGGCATTTTATATTTGTCAAACCTCAAAAATTTTAAACATAAATTATTCTATGATTGAGCAATAATAGAAATTGAAGTGAAATTTACAAGAAAATGTTGAAAAGAAGAATATATATACTAGCAGAAAACAACGATGTAGCATAACGCAATTTTAACCAAACAAAGAATTATCCCGCATGTACTTTTAAAAGAAAATATGAACACACGAGGAAGAAAAATTAGGACCTATAACAACGAAATATTTGTTGATAGGCATCAGGACAGATATATTAAAGAGATACAAATAGAATGCACATGCCAAGATTTCTAAGATTGGTGTCCCTTAAACTGCAAACTCCTTTTTTTATGAAATCTTGTACCTCCAATTTACAATTAGAATATAACTATGTACTCCAATTTACAATTCTGAAATTAAATCCAATTTCAAACTGAAAAATAAAGACAAAAACTGATAAAATAGAGACTAATAATTCCTATTTAAGGCAGTTGAATAGCAGCTTTGGAAATCGTACAAGAGGGATACTGGTTGCAAAAGAGAGAGCCAGCAAAAATAGGAGGAAGAAGAGACTAATAAGGAATTTTCTTGTCCAAGGAAGAAAAGGCTTGGGCTGCTACCACAAATAGCACCATGATCACAGCATTTCTCCCTTTCCACTTGCTAAAATACTCTGCAAAACTCAGCTACTTCAAGCACTTGGTGAGAGGAACCAAAAAGTAAAAAAGGGACCTATGAAAAGGAAAAGGAAAAGGCAAGAGTATGATGTTATATAAACTTTCGCAAGTTACTTTTCTCAGGTCAAAGCCTCTTTTGGAGGTTAGAATTAGTAGAAGTCCACCCCCCCACCCCCTCTCTAACGGAAAAGCAAAAAACCAAAGGGAAAATCTAAGTTTTTCAGAAATATTCTACATCAGGTATCTACACCTAGTACTCAAGTACCAATACCAAAGCCTTCTATTAACGTGGGTGTCAATGCCCTTCATATAGGAACAAATTGATGAATCGTGTGTGACATTTTTGTTGTCACTCAACAATATTTTCCCTATATATTATCTATATAAATTACAGAACCACAAAGTAGATTAAGATAAATAGTTAAAAAACTGCTTCCTTAGTTTCAGAATTACAAATTCAAAATATATAAATATTGTTAAGTTAAAATAAATGTAGAAAAAAGCCTAAGGCAAAAATAAATTATTGATTTCAAGAATTTGATTGTTTTTCTCTCTCTTAACTTTTTCATTTAATTTAATTTAATTTAATATTAAAATGTTGTAAAAATATTTAAAGGGATCCATCTATTAAAGCTTTCGTCTATATATGTGATCTCATTTTTTTATTGATAATAGAGATAAGCATAATAAAAATTAGGGAAATTTGCTGTAGAGGTTTAAAACTTGTCCACAATATGCAGTCTAATCCCAAAACTTTTAATCTTAGCACCTACAGCCTAAACCTTTTAATAAATTGCACAGAAATGACCTCCAACGGTTTACATTCAAAAACATGTTAGTTGATCAAAAATCAAACGTCTTACTTTAATTTTATCAATTTAATTCAAGGGAAATTGGTCTTTTTAGATTTATTTGATTAAAACAATTTTAAAACAAAAATTTAGTAATAAGAGAAACAAAAAATAAAAATAAAAATCATCTTCCTAACTCCACCTGACCATAAACCTCAACAACCTACTCCAATACCATACAATAACCAAAACTGCTACCAATTGGAAGATTTCTCGAGCCATGCTTGGTTTACAGGGAAAACACTGCTAGAGGATTTACAGGGGAATGTAACACTTTATCATTGGAAGCTAGCCAAAAAAATGAAAAAAGGCAACCATACTGGTGCTGCCGGCACTCTAGCAATTATTCCCCGCCTCCCCTTGCCATTCCCAGCCCCCCTCGATCCCACTACCATGTTGTCGACAAAATATATCCAGCCACCTGTTGGGAATTTACTTAACATGCACAGCGAAAATAAAACAATTTTCAATTCCCAAACGAGGATCTGCAATGTGTTTAGATAGAAACTGTGATGAGAATGATACCTTTGATGAATTCCACAAACTCTTTTGCTTTTTCTTGAACTCCAATGATCACGATCTGCAATCCAAGCTGTTCAATTGTCCAGCCTCCAATGGTGATCCACACAGAGAA